TGTGTGTGTGTGTGTGTGTGTGTGGCCAGCTCAGCCCACCAGGGGGCGGGGCTGGCTGGCATGTGGTGCTGGGGGATTGAACCGTGGTCCCCGTGCTTTGCCAAGCTTGTTCCAAGTAGGTGCTTTAGATCACTGAGCCATCTCACCAGCCCCTCTTTCATCATTCTTAAAAAAGAGATTTTGGGGGCCGGGGAGATGGCTCAGTAGAATAAGCGCTTGCCAAGGGCCTGAGTTCAATCCCTGGTTCCACCAAAAAAAAAAAGCAAAACAACCACACTGTACATCTGGGGGCCTGCCCATTAGCTCAGTTGTTTAAGTACCTGCTTAAGCAAAGCAGTCAGGCTGAGGAGTCTATGGTTCAATCCCCAGCTCTTCATGCCTTACCAGACCTGCTCTTACAGCATCCTGAGCCGGCAAAAAAAAAAAAAAAAATCCTTCTGAAACTCCAAATTGTAAGCAACATAACTTTAGTTGCTAAACATATATTTCCTAAACTGCACTGATCAACTAGGCAGAAAAAAGGTCCCTTGTTTAGATAAATATATCTACCATGAGTGGGAGAATTGGAATTCCATGTTTAGAAATAGGTAGATTTGTGTGGGGCATGACAGTTCATACCTGTAATCCCAGCACTCGAGGCTGAGGCAAGAGGATCGCTGCAAGTTTGAGGCCAGCCTGAACTGCACAGTGAAAACTTATCTCAAAAAAAAGGGTGGATTAGGCTGAAAGCGCTTTCACTGAGAGGACTTCGTGAAGAAACACGTGGTAAGAAGGCTTCATGTATAGGGCAGGGATAATGACAGCAGCAAGAGGACATTGGGCGTTGTCAGCAGCCTTTGGGTCCTCTGCAGGCCCTTTCTGGCCAGATACACTTACCAGCAGGCCATAAAGCCATCGGATGTTTCACAAATTCTGCTCACTGTGCAGATTCATTTAGGACAACTTTATGCTTTCTCCATGTCAATTGCATGATCTTTCGTTTCCCATTACTTTCCAGGAGGGATTGTCAAGGCCTTCTTTGTCACAGAATTGGCTTTAACGTTTTATGCAAACAAGTCCCTAGGCACGATGTCCCTCCGCCCCACATACCTTTTCAGTGCTGGAAGTTGTACCCAGGGCCTTGGGCATGTTAGGTGGTACAAGCCATCTCTTTTCCTCTTCTTTCCATTCCCTACTTTTCTCCTTTACTCTCTGATTAAACCCGGGGAATATGTGGGAGTATTTTAAGGGATTAGGAGAATATCTATGCAGAGATTGAACTGGACATAGTAGATCTGCTTACAGTCCCAGCACAGTGGAGGCTGAGATAGGAGGATCATCGTGAGTGTGAGACTAGCCTGGCCTACAAAATGAGCTTAAGGCCAAGCTGAGTTGCTTGACCCAAGTAGCAAGACCCAGTCTCAAAAAGACAATCCCCCCAAAACACAAAGCATCGAGTCTTGACGTTTGGCTGAACAATCAGGTGTGAGGAATGGAACTCTAGCCCCAAGGTAATGCTGTCAGCTGGCCTTGAGCAGGGCCTACCACTATCCAGGGCAGCCTTGTCATTTACATATTTGTCCAAAAGTCAAGAAACACCTTTATTTTTCTTGATATCTAGGATTGATGCTTACAATTGCTCTCTCAAAAGCTGACCACCTTTCCCCCTAAAAATGCTACTGGACTCTTTAATGAAAGTTTTTTTTGTTTTTTGAGACAGGGACTTAACTATGTAGACCAGGCTGGTTATAGGTGTGTGCCACCATGGCCAATGAAGGTTTGCTTTATAAAATTTTTAAATACTTAATGCATGGCTTTAATTGTAAAGTGTAATAAGATAAATATACAAAGTGAGGGGCATTCAAGCAGTCTGTGGCCAGCAGCTATATTTAAAAATATTTTAATTTCTGAATAGGTAATACATGTAATGTTTTGAAAGACAAGGGCTTACAGTGAAAAATCTCCCAGTATTAATTCCATGCACCCTGTCACCCTCCCCACAACCACAGTTGTTTCCAAAAAAAAAAAAAAAAAAAAAAAAAAATGTATCGGAGGGGCTAGGGAGATAGCTCAGTAGAATAAGCGCTTGCCTGGCAAGTGCAAGGGCCTGAGTTCAATCCCGGGTTCCACAAAACCCCAAAAAACCCAAATGTATCCAAGATACAATATGAAAACATGCATAATAGTCATTACAGCATTATAAACAAGATAAACTATGGGAATGTGTATCAATGAGGAACTGATTAGTTACAGTGTACTAGCTGTGAAGTAGAATGAGACAATCTTTATGCGTAAGTATAAAGAAAAAAGCAAAGTACACAGCAGCGTGCATAATACACCATTTGGGTTCTCGCGTGCCTACATGTGCAGCGTGTCCAGAACGAGTGGCTGGGTTGGAGGGTGGAGTGGCGGAAGGAGCGGCAGGGTGTGTGTGAATGGGGGGCGCAGGAGCACAAAGGGCCAGTCCACAGCCCCACTGCTGCAATGTGCAGCAGTGTGTTACCCGCTGGTGGGTAAGCTGCCCTCTTAGTCTCTTTTGGGCGTCTTTCTTAAGGCATTAGAGCTTTTTGTTTCCATAGCAATAATCTTTTGCTATTACAAATAATACTATAATAAATAAGCTTTTACACATATCATTTCACATTTGGTGAGGAAGTTAACATTTGAAAATTAAGTTCCTGGAGGTCAGTACTGTTAGAATTTTGAAAACACTGTCATGTTGTCCTCTTGAAAGGTTGCACCATTTCTCATGCCCAGCAGCCAGCAATTTCCCGAGATGCTTGCTTGCCAACTAGGAGTCTTAAAGGTCTTCATCTTTGCTAGCCTTTTAAGAAAGCATATCAAAAAAAAAACAAAAACAAAAAAAACGTATCGCTGCATTTTAAGTTAATTTCCTTTATTAACAAATGGAAGAATATTTTCACATGTGTAAAATCATTTCTTTGTCTTTTACAAATATAAACTACTCAAGTGATTTAGAGCAAATTATTTAAACTTTTCTTAAGCCTCAATTTTCTTATCAGTGAATTGGGAATAAAAAGAAGGGGGATCTTTGGATGATTAAATGAAATTTGTGCACAACATGCAACAGAGGGCCTGGCGTGAGGTGGCCGACCGTCAGCACAGCAGGCAGACCAGGACAGAGTGAATTAAGAAAGTAGCGTTCATCCCCATCTCCATCACATGCAGCCTTGTTTCCGGGCTGTTCGTCAGAACACAGCCAGATTTTTCCTGGTCTTCAAATAGTAAAGGACTTTTTCCCTTGGAGCCAAATAGTATGTGTGCCGCTGGCAGAGCTGGCCTTATCTCTGGTTTTTTACTTAACCAACGTTGTAAAGAAAGTTGGTCTAATGTGAAGTAAAAACAGGAAACAGAATTCAGGATGTGCATTTCTTTACCGTGGTGGTGGGAGAGTCCCCGTGTGAGTTCAGAGGGATTTGGGAACTCCATTTTGTGACAAGGAGGGGCCCAGGCTCCGAGCGAAGAGCCCTGGAGATCTGGCTTCCTCCGCTCAGGAGCACACTAGTGAATTGACTGTTGATTGCTAACAGAGCAAACTGGCTTTCCCTAAAAAGCCCAGTTAAGTATTTCCTATAAGAAATTATATTTAATAAAGTTCTTTGCAGACAGTCACTCTTGCAGCAGCCAGTACCAGGGGCTATGATTTACCCAAAGCTACTGAGTCATTCTTTACTCTTGTAAAGCCGTGGCTCCCCTTGCAATCAGCTCCCCATATTTTCACATTGCCTTGTGCCTCTTGCTGCTTTGTCCTGCTCTTTGCTCCTCTTCATTTGTGTCTCTTACACTCTGCAAGCTAGTCTCAGTCTTGCTTCTCAGAACAAGGTATCTTCTGTCCTTCTTGTGGAGATGTTGCAGAGTCAGGGCCCAGGCCAGACTGGCTGGGTGGCAATAACAGTTCTGAGAGGGGCGCTGGAGTCCTCAAACTCTCCCATACCCCTTCTTGCTCCTCAGGATCCAAGGGACCACCCCCGGGCAGTGTAGCTTCTGTCCCAGTGGCGGAGTCCTGGAGATCGCAGCCAGAAAGGGGTGCTTACAGTGTGAGACCTTCCATGTGTGTACAATCTTTGGGCATCTGACAGCATCCCATAGCAAGGCCAGGACAGGTGGTGGCCTGTGGCCAAAGCACTAAAGCGTCTGGTGGTGGTGGAGCCAAGCAAGGGCACAGGGCAGGACAAGCTCACAGCCAGAGCCTAAGTGAGAGGCGATGCGGGCGCGCTGGTGGAGCTGGTGTCGCGGTGCCGTCCCAGCTAGGAAGGCACCCTGAAGGCTTCTGCCGAGGCTGTGGCCATTCCCAGCTAGCTGCCTACCCTGAGCCCTCACTGCTACTCCTCTGCAGCACAGTGGGGCGGGTCAGGCCTGGCCACGTAACCCGGGGAGCAGCGGCAGCGGTAGGAACCCTCCGTGTTTTCGCAGTGACCGTGGGCACAGAGCACAGCAGGGCCGTTCAGGTCCTCACATTCGTTCACATCTGAGTGGAAGGAAGGGAGAAAGATACAGGGCTGTAGCCTCTGCCCTGTGATGGAACCCTGCACGTGACGGCAGAGGCTGAATCTCCCCTCCCCCCAAGCCGAGCGGCCCGAGGAAGGTCCAGAAGCGAGAGGAGGTGACCCTGCAGCGAGCCCAGGGCCATCCTCTTCCTTCGCCTTTCTCCCCGGGAGGTCCGCTGAGCCGCCGAGGAAGCCGGTGAGACGCACCTTCTGCCAGGCGCCCACTAGGGGGCAGCAGCGGCGTCCTGGCCGCCCGGGGTGCTCGTGTCCTTCAAGGGCCCCTTACCAACGCAGGCCATGTGCGCTGCGTCCAGCTGGAAGCCCTCGAAGCAGTCGCAGGTGTAGCCCTCCTGCACGCGCACGCAGCGGCCATTCTCGCAGCCATTCAGGATGCCGCACTCTTCTGCCTGCAACCCCTCGAAGGCGGCCAGGGACTCTGGGGGTCAGAAAGGAGCTGCTGAGGCCCTGGCCCTCCAGACCAAATGGCGGGTGATGTGGGTGAAGGTGGCAGGGCAGGGTGGCGCTCCCACGGCACGACGCACTGCCCTGTTCTACATGAGAGGTCCTGGTTTGGGGTTTGATGTGAAGTAGATGCTTCACTGACCCAAGATCCCAGGTTGAGGGGGCGTCTCACCGAACACAAAGCAACCTGATGTGCCCGACCCTCTTCCCTTCCTGAGCACCCTGCACCTCCTAAAAATAACCCCATCCCTGCTGTGGTGGGGTCTGAGCCAGTCCTGTGCAGTGGGCGCCCACCACCCCAGCGCTGTGCCTGACTCGCTCTGGAGGGTGTGAAGTCTGAGTGCCAGCGTCAGCACGGTGGGCCACTAAAGCTACTAGAAATGCTTAGCTCACGTCAGGTCGCGAGGTCAGCTGCCTGGTTCCCTGGCACAGGCAGCTCTGCGTCCTGTGAGTGCGTGCTGAGTGGAGTGGGGGAGAAGACAGGCGGCCCTGTGCCACTCCCCCAGGTTTGTTGAAAAATCTTTTTGAGATGGCTCACTATGCAGTTCAGGTTGGCCTTGAACTCACTTTGTAGCCCAAGCTGGCCTTGAACTCAGCGATCTCCTACTTCTGCCTGCTGAGTGTTGGGATCACAGGCATGAGCCACCATGCCTGGCTAGGAGATGTTTTTTGTACTGGGAATTGAGTTTAGGACCTTGTGCTGGCCAGGCAGGCGCTGTGCCGCTGACCTGTGTACACCTGGCCTCAGGGAGACTTGAGGTCAGAACAGTGTCCTTTATCTTCCCGTATCTCTGTCCCTGTGCTAGCTCATCACGAAGGAGTTGGCAGAACCTGACCCAGGCATGGGAATTCATGTCTTGAGTGCCCCTAAGCAGAGATGTCTAGCTCCCTTCCCTTCCCCTTCCGAGAGCCTGCTGCCAGTGGCTGTTGTCGGGTGGGGGAATGAAAGGGAAGCAGCTTCTGCAGCGCACCTGGATGGATGGCCACGTGGTGGGGCTGGAGTTCGGAGGGCTGGAGGGGTGGCTCAAAGGCAAGGGTGGGGTCCCCTGGGTGTCTGGCCACACTGGAGAAGGGGGGCTCAGGGATGGTGTCCTCGGGGCCCAGGTCGTTGTAGAAGGGGGTCCCATCTGGGCCATACAGACTGTAGTGCAGGTCGTCTGGGCCAGGGCCATACTCATAGCCTGGATGGAAGTGGATCCCGGCCTCCCGCTCTGCCTCAATCCGGGCCACATTGCACAGCTGAGCATAGACCTCTGTGGGGAAGAGGGAAGAGGGCGCTGGGCTCCAGCTCCTGCTGGTAGAGCCTGACTCCCCCAGAAGTGAGGGAACAGAGGGGACCGGGCAGACTCCCCACTCTCCCCAGACAATGCAGATGGAAGATAAGGCCACTTCCCTCTGCTGCCCAAGGTTAGGGGTCCTCCTCAGAGTCGCCTCACCAGAGCTCCTGGGGGGGCACAGGGCACACTGCTGGCTCCAGGCCTCGCCGTCCTGACAGCAGCACTCCGTGTAGGTCGTCTGGCGCCCACGCAGGGGGTGGCTGCACACATCACTGGTGACTTGTTTCCAGCAGATGTCCACGTGTATGTCATGGTCAGGCAGGTCCTCTGGTGGCACAGGACCCAGAGACCCCTAAGTCTTAGCCGGGACCCACGTCCCCTGTGGCCCACGCCACGGCCGCTGACCTGCACTGCTGGTGCTGTTCACACAGCGCTGCCCACTGCGGTCGAGGGTGAGAGGGGGGCTGCAGAAGCAGTGGAAGGAGCCGTCTGTATTCACACACTCGCCGTGCTCACAGGCCAGGTCCTGGCACTCGTCGTGGTCTGCAGTGGCAGGGCAGGGGAGGTGGGGGGAGGGCAGCCGGTCTCACCGCTCACGGAGGGAAGAGGTGCGCCTCCCATCTGCCCAGGGACGTCCTCCCCAGGAAGGGGCCCCCAGCAAGAGGGCCGGCTGCCCGGGACGGAGGGGCAGGACCCAGTCAGTCCTTACCCTCGCACTGCCCGCGGGCGGGGGAATAGTGGTAGCCAGCATTGCACAGGCAGATATAGCCTGGCACTGTGTTGAGGCACCTGCCGTTCCGGCAGAGTCCGGGCCCAAACAGCACACACTCGTCAGCATCTGGAGGGCGAGGGGAGAGGGAAGGAGGCCGTTCCCGCAAGCAGGGGTTCTAAACTGGATGGTCAGTTTGAGTCCCTGCCCTGCCTCTGAGGAGTTGACTGACTGATCAAGTTGCCTGAGTTCTTGGCTTCAGTTTTCTATCTTAAAAATGTGTCTACTTAACCTTTCCTTTTTTTTTTTTTTTTTTTTTCGGACCCGGGGATTGAACTCTGATCCTTGCATTTGCCAGTCAAGCGCTTATCCTACTGAGCCATCTTGCCGGGCTACTCAACCTTTTCTAATCATGGAGAGTTAAGGCTGGATGATCTGTAAAGTACTTGAAATAAGTGCTTGGCAGGAAGCTGCATGCAAGTGGCTTCTGCGGCTAGATGTAGGTCAGTGTAGAGCACCCGCCTCGTGTGCCGAGGCCCGGGTTCCATCCCATGCCGTGTCATACACACGCGTACATGCACACCGTTTCTGTCTCTGTTACCCCCTTCTTAGGACTAGCTTTAGGACACCAGAGGGCTCCTGGGATTCCTGCTGCAGTCATGGAGCCAGGGAAACAGCTGCCCCACCTGGCCTCTAGGCGGCAGTGTCCCCCGCGCTGCCCCTGGCCCGCCACAGCGGGGGTGAGGGTTGTCCAGGCGCCACTGTTTGTTCCGGGATGGCCCAGCCCTGAGCAAGCAGGAATGAAGACTGTGGCGCTCCGGAGGCTCATGGTCGGAGCCTCCTGCCAAGGCTGCAGGGAGCCAGCCAAGAAAGGGTGGCTGGCTGTGTTGCCCAGAGGCCTCCTGAGGACCAGGCCAGGACCCCTGCAGCACATGGTGTCTGGGAGGCTGCGGGGAGTTTACCTGTGTACATGGTCTGAGTAAACGGCCAGTCTCCTTGCACAGGGATATAGCCTTTCCCGCTGGGGCAGAGCTCGCCAAATTCAACTGTGAAGGAAGGGACCTGGGTTTGGAGAGGGAGGGCTGCCCCCTTCCTCCCTCTCTTAAGTGTCACCTCAAAGAGCTGACTAAGAGGATGTGGGTCTTGGGGTCGTACCAGAATCCTCGGATGGGCAGAGCTCACAGCTGTCCCCCCATCTGGCTCCCTCAGTGCAGCAGCATTCAGCCTGCGTGGAGTTTTGGCCCAGGACACTGGAGCAGGGCAGAAGGCCGTCCTGCGCAGAGTAGCAGGCCATGCGGGTGTGGCCTGGGGCGTGGTCCCCTGTCGGGATCTCGGAGATGCTCTGAGCTGTGTGATAGAGACCCCTCGTTACCCTCCTTGCATGACTGTCTCAGGCACCCCAGCTCTTGAATATATCTTTTCAATGTAACATTTATACAGCACTGCAGTTCACACAATGCTGTGACCCCTGGTAGCACGCTAGGTGCTTCCATCCATGCTGTGAGTGGGTACTGTTATCTTCTGTCTGTGACAGTTGAAGAAACTGAGCTCAGTGAAATCAGGTGCTTGCTACAGCTGCGGAGCTCTAGGGGTGAGGCTGGGGTCTGGCTTCCTCTGGTACCCAAGCCTCTTTCTGCCCCACTGCCATCCTCCCTGTGGGCTGCTCCCTGCACCTGGCATATTGGCAGCGTGCTGACCTCCCATCTCCTGGGTATGTCTCCCTCCTCTGCCCTTATTCTGTACCAGGTCCCCTTCTCCCCAGCACGCTGGCGCCAGCGGAGTCCTGGCCTGGCCTAAGCAGAGAAGCCACCTGGACCTGGGGTAGGGAGGCGAGGGGTGAGTCCTGTCCAGCTTAGGTTCAAGTCCTCCTGCGTCAGACAACTCGCGTGGGGTTGAGTGGTTTAGGGACTCTAAGGCTCGACCTGAGGTCCCTGGGGCCATTCCACTGAGCTCCCTTGTTTCGCACATGCCGGACTCAGAGGCCCCTTCACATTCATTCCCCATCTGCTCTTCAAGACTAAGCCAGAGGGCTGGCTAAATAGCTCAGCAGGTTAAAGCACCTGCAAGCAGGCGCAGGGGCCAAGGCTGGATCCCCCAGGCGTGCTGAGATGGCACTTGAGACTGGGTGTGGTGGTGCGCGCCTGTAATCCCAGCTCTTGGGAGATTGTAAACAGACGGATCACTACGAGTCCAATCTAGTAGTGAGACCCTGACCACCCTGTAGACCCTTCCCTAAAAATAAAAAAAATAATAAATTAAAAAAAGACTAAGCCAGGTCCTGCCTGGTCTCCCTCTCAGTGCCAAGGATAGGGGAGGAGATACCCTCTGTAGGCCATGGGGCCATCATGAGTGAGGACAGGTGGCAGGGCATCTGAGAGGTTCCCGGATCTCACCTGCAGCCTCCCGAGGCCGGCAGAGCCCTTCCTTGGCATCATATTCCTCCATGTCACTGACGCAGAGGCACAGGAAGGAGCCCTCTACATTCTCACAGAGCGCCGCCCCACACACGGCAAGCATGAGCTCACACTCGTTCACATCTGCCAGGTAGGAGGGAGGACAGGTGTGGGCACAGGGAGGCAGTCGGGCCTCCCAACCCTTACCTAGCCACTGCAAGTGTTCTTCCCCAGAGAACCACACTACATCTGGCCAGAAGGAGACAAAAGTGGGTATGAATTAGCAGAGAAAAGGGACTGTGGGCAAAGGGGCCAGGAAGAGGAGAGGAGGCAAAAGAAGGGTTGTCCTTTGTTCTGTGAACACAGGCTGCTAGGCTCAGTCCCTAGGGAGAGAGAGGTGGCAATGGGGCTGTGGGGGTGTCCTCCACCCCTTGCTCCCCCTTCCGGCCCAGCAGAGATGGCAGCTACAGGGGCAGATGAAGTTCTTCCTCCAAGCTTCACTTTGCCCACCCACTGGGGACCGACCCATCATGGAACCACGAGGCCCTGATGCTTCTGTTCAGGACAGTCAGGGCCCGTGGAGATGAGTCTGAGGCCTTCCCTGCTCAGGGCTTGGTAGCCTGAAGGCTTCTCACCAACACAGTCCCAGCCTGAGGGTGAGGTCTCAAAACCCTGGTCACAGAGGCAGCGGAAGGAGCCGTCCGTGTTGTCACAGAAGCCGTGGTGCCCACACACGGTGTTACTGGCACACTCATCTACGTCTGGAGAGCGGAGGCCAGGGCAGAGGGTATGAGTGGTCTGCTCACAGCAAGACCTGTTTTTCTGCTCTGTTATACTAAGATGGGTGAAAAGCAATTTCTGAGCACAGGACACTGGCACTGCTTTTCAGTTTTCGTAGAAAGTCTGCTATATGGAAAACACAGCCACAGGAGAAAATTGGAGCAGAGGGTGGGCCCCTGGCCCTACCCCGCGGCTGCTCACCTATGCAGGCTCCAGTCGGGGCCGCGTAGAAGCCAGGCTGGCAGCCTGGGACACAGCGGTAGGAGCCAGGGCTGTTCTCACACCTCCAGGCCCCACACACTGGGTCCTTGTGGTCCTCACACTCGTCAGTATCTGTCCCCAGAGCCCAGAGAGGGCACGGCTGTGACCAGCTAGCATCCCAAGGTCATGTCCCACAACCTCTGGTGCCCTCAGTTGCTCCAATTTACTGTGCTCATCCCGACTCCTCCCTGCCAGGTCCTCTTCACCCCCAGCCTGAGCATCTAGGAAGGGAACTGTACCCAGTTTAGAAAGAGCTCCTGGCCGCCTGTGACACCCCCTTCCCTCCTGTCTCCTGTCCCAGCAGCGGAGTGCTTAATACTTCTGTGTTTGGCACTTGCCACAGTGGGTCGCAAAACCCACTGAGAAGAAATCTGGCACAGGCTTCCTGTTGGTCTCCTTTGCCTATAACTTGGTCCCAGAAAAAGACCCTGAGCCCAGCAGGTGTTTAATGTCTACCAGTCTGGCCCTTAGAACGAGATCGTGCGCTCTGCTAGCACAAAGATGGGGGTCGTCTTCATTTGTCAGACAGTCCCTGAGCCAGCAGAACTGAATAATGATTAACTCGTGCACGGCCGCCTGCTTCCCTCCTCAAGGGGTCCCGGGCTCTGTCCTTCCCCGGTGGCCCTTACCCACACACTCCCCGCTCGCTGGGGAGGGCTGGAAGCCAGCTTCACACAGGCAGGTGAAGGAGCCCTCAGTATTGACACAGCGCCCTCCCAGACAGGGGTCTGCGGCCGCACACTCGTCCACATCTAGGGTAGAAACCTCCGTCAGCTCCCCGAACAGCCCTTCGGAGAGACCCAGGAGGACCAGGGAGGGGCTGAGGTACAGAAGGAAGATCCTAGAGGGCCCGGTGCTGGGGCTGGGGCTGGGGAGCTGGGCATCAGGGACAGAGGGCGCGTGCTGGCTTCCTCCGTGGTGGAGAGGCCCAGGGGCTCCACGTCCCTCCCCAGGACCCTGCCTCGGCATGCGCGTGAGGCTGTGAGCCCTGGGATGTCTCAGTGCTGTCCTCAGATAGACCCCTCTCGGGTCTCAGCCCTGCACCCCCGCCACCCTCTGGCTGTGTGGTGTCTCACCCTGGCAGCTTGTGCCTCGCTCTGCACTGGCAAAGCCGGGTGCACAGAGGCAGAAGAAGGACCCGTGGCTGTTGAGGCACTCGCCGTGGGGCGCACAGTGCTCCTGCCCCGCGCACTCATCCACATCTGAGAAGAAACAGCAGGGGGTCTCGGGGCCTCTCCCCCCACTTGCTGCCCCAGCCTGGCGGAACAGGAGTGCTTACCCTCACACACGGAGCCATTGGCCAGCCGGAAGCCCAGGGCGCAGAGGCACTGGTAGGAGCCTGCCACATTCTTGCACTCGCCTCCCAGGCAGCTGCCCTGGGGATCTTCACATTCATCCACATCTGTAGGGGAGGGGCAGCTGACTGGTGCCACCCAAGGCCAGGATGCAGAGCCAGGCGACCAAGGGCTTGCCGCCTTCCTGGGGAGACTGGGCCGTGGGGCTGTCCCACCCTCAGAGCAGCCCCCGGATGCCCAACGAGCCCGTGAGGACACAGGCCAAGACCCCTCCAGAGCCAGAAGTTGGGTCCAGACAGGACCAGGAAGTTGCATGCTGAACGGTGCCCCCCAGTGATGCCAATACACATGGGAGCCTGGGAGCCTCGCTGGCTCAGGAACCTCGGTCTATGGTCACCTTTCTTTTTTTTTTTTTCTTTTCAAATTTTATTGATAAACATATAGCAATGAGACAGTTTCAAATCAAATATGGTCACCTTTCTGAGAGGGGTGAGGACAGGTGTCCCTGGCCAGCCCACCATCCTCAGAGACAGAGGGCCACTGCCCATCTGCCACCTGAGTGTCAGGGTTGCTCCCTCCTCCCAGGAAGACTCACCTTCACAGGTGCGGCCCAGGGGCCCGGGCCGGTAGCCCTCACTGCAGTCTTTGCAGGAGAAGGAGCCCACCGTGTTGGAGCAGACGCCTGCCGGGCAGACTCCGGGGAAGGCACACTCATCCAGGTCTGAGTGACAGTGTGGTCAGGGACCCTGAGAGGCCACACCGCACCGCACCTAGTGCCTTCTAAGTGGGCAGCCCCAGCTGAGGACCAGGGCAATCCCACCTCTCCTCCCTAGAAAGCTCTTAGGTAGCTCTAGCCTCAGTTTCCTCCTGTCTCTGACCTTATTTCTCCCACCCTTTGGGACCTGGAGATTAAGACAACAGAAGCAAAGGCCCCTTATAGGACTCTAGTCTTGGCCAGAGCCCTCCTGCTGCCCACTTGTCCATCCCGCCCTGCCTCACCAGGCTACCTTCACAGGCTGTGCCTTCCTCGTTCACCCAGTACCCGCTCTCACAGGCCAAGCAGGTAAAGGAGCCCTCGGTGTTGAGACAGAGGCCTTTGGGGCATGAGGCCCGGCTGGCACACTCGTTCACATCTGAAACGGGCCATGGAGTTGTGTATGGGACTGCAGGACAGGCGTCCCAGGGCCACCAGAGATGGGCACAGGGGCTGGGTGGGGGGTGGCGTGGTTGGGGGTATGCGTGGGGTATATGCAGAGGAAGGAGCCAGACAGAACTGCCTGTGGAAAGAGGGAGCTTTGGCTTCTGTACCTCGGCAGCCCTTCTTGTCTGAGGTGACCTCGTAGCCCTGTTCACAGAAGCATCTAAAGGAGCCATCCAGGTTGACGCAGCGCCCGTGGGCACAGACCCCAGGGCTCAGACACTCATTCACATCTGTGGGACAGCAGTTGGGGTGAGGGCGGCCCCCTCCTCTGCTGCCACCTTTGGCAGGCTCCGAGCACCACAACTGAGAGGCCAGGGGATCAGCCGTCAAGAGGGGCACTGGGCCACTCTGGAGAGCCGTGAAGCCACCTGCCTCCTTCCACCCAGGCGGGGCAGGGTCCCTTTCCCCAGCCCCTCAACCCCATCTAGAACACCGAACTCGAGTACATCCTAGAGCAAGGGGCCAGGCCCCAGGCTTAGGGCCGGTTTGGTCTATCTGAGGACACTGGCAATGAGGTGTCCAAAGACCTTGGCTCTGTGGGCCTGATTCTCTGGTCTCCCACCTGCCACCAAACCACCCACGTCCCCAGCCCAACAGTCAGCTTCAGTAAGTGGTGGCAGCGTGAGGAAGGCCAGCCACGCCAGCGCGGCTGTAGTGGTCTCAAGGGCCTGGGAACCATCTGCCCTCTCAGAGCCTCAAAGCATCTACTGAAAACATGGTCCCTCCTGGCATTCTGAACCCTGGTCCTCCTTCCTGCGGGGGCTGAGGGGAGAGGAAACAAAGTCCTGCTCACATGCACCCTCTCCGGAGGAGCAGGACACTGCTGTTCGCAGCCAGGACAGAAGAGCAGAGGGGCCTGGCTGCCAGCTCTCAGCCCCGTCCCAAGACGGCTGCTCGCCCACTGCAGAGGAGCCAGCCAGACACTTGCGACCTTGGGCGGTAGCTTCAGACAGATGTGCCAGGGAGAGAGGGCCAAGAGCATCCTGAAGCGCACCCATGTCATGCCTGCGGTCATCTGGCAACCCAGCTGGATATGGAGGACAATAGCCTCCAAGCCACATCCCAATGCCTGCCTCTGGCCCTGCCCGCGTGTGGGATCAGGCAGCATTCCCAAGGCCAAGCAGCCCTCTCAGTGCCTTGGCAGGCGGCCCTCACCTACGCAGCTCCCGCTCTGGCCCCGGTAGCCCTCCTCGCAGGCCAGGCAAGTGTAGGAGCCGGCGGAGTTGACGCATCTCCCATCCGAGCAGGTGCCAGGCTGACGACATTCATCAATATCTGAAAAACAACAGCCTTGTCTTGGTCATCTCAGAACCACAGCCCACTGCAGCTCCATGACACAGCAGATCCCTGCCCAGCCCTTGGTTGAGGAGAAGGATGTCACTGTCTGCACAGAGGAAAACGGAAAAAATGCGACTCGCCCTGTGTTCTCAACTCCACCTCCCACCCACTGTCCTGGACAAAAGAGAGATGGAAGAACTTAAAAATGAGAAAGGGAAACTCCCTGAGTGGGTGGGCTGTGATCACCACTGGCTGTGGGAGGGTCAGAGAGTGGTCCTGTGAGCTGGCCTGTCTGGGAAGGGCCTTCATTACTCCCTTGGTGAACTCCTAGACCTTTGTAAGCAGTGGCCATTGTGGGGATTGGTTGTGCTTGATGCAGGAGCCTGTGGGACTGCTGCCACAGCTCACCAGAGGGGTCGTGGAGGAAAAATGCACTTCTCTTCCTCAGGAAATGGGGACCAGGGATGGCCCTCCATTGTGGACAGGGTCTGGCTCAGCTTTGAAGCTGAGGGTAGACCACAGGGACAAGGCTGGTGCGTATTCCTACTGCAGCACTGAGATCTAAGGATATCAGACAGAAAGGATGAGCCTGGGCTCCAGCCAGACGGGCAGGGAGGTGAGCAACAGTAAGGGGAAGGAGGGGAACTGTTCCCTTGGGAGTGGTGTGCATTCCTTCCCTGGTGACTTGGCTTGCTGGAAGCCCACTGTTCAAGGTACTAAGGGCTCTGGACCAAAGTCAAGGCTGAACTGCTGGTTTAAACTGTGGGATATTATGTTCCTCTTGCCCATTGTTGGGTCTCCTGCTCACCATTTATGACAGATTGACCAAGCTCCAAAGGAAGCAGGAGGATTTATTTTTCCTAAAACCTTCAGCAAAGGGGCTAAAGCCAGCAGCTGACACTGCAGAGCGGATGCAGACCCAAGGATGGAAGGTGAAAGCTGCTTGTTCTGCAGAGCTCAGGACACACGGAGTTCTCTGTCTAAGGGAACTGGGACCTGCTTGAGCCCAAAGCCTGACCCCAAGCATCCAGAAAAGGGATTTCCAGGGGTGAGTGGCCACGGAGGTGAGAACCTACAGAGAGATGCCCACAGTTCCTAGGTAACGCTAGGATTCTGGGATAAGGCTCATCTTCAGACAGTAGAAAAATGTGAACCCCTATTGAGTTACGGTGGCCCCAGGTTAGGTTGTTCTAAGATGTAAAGACAAGATGAAGGCATCGAGACAGAGATGGAGCAAATGAAGGGTTCAGGACCAGCAATGTAGGCTGCTCTGGAGAGAGCACTCAGCACCATGCTCCTTGGGCTGAGCTCCCGGAAGGAGGACCACAAAGTCATCAATCACTTCAGGGATGCCAGACCTTGGGGATGGAAAGACACTGACATAGAGATCTTCCTAAGTCCATAAAGAAAGTCTTGGGCCTCTCCTGCAGAGACCAAATGACAGGAGAATCAGGGCTTCCCAGAGGAGAGGTCCCTGAGTCTGTCTGACCCCCGAGGTGCCGGGCATGTCTGCTGGAAGTGACGCGCACGGCACCGGCCTGAGCATTGAGAAGGCACGTTTCACCCCCACCTCCCGCCTCCTGGGCATGGGGCTTGTGCCCCTCGGTTCACGTGGTTGGCGGAGCCATGAGCCTAGGGCCGGCGGGGAGCTATGAGCGCTCCCCATAGCATAATGGCAGGTGCCATTAACGGGACAAAGCCCTCAGTTACAGCCCGCAAAGCACAGCTTTGCTCCATGGAGACTGGCCACGTGCTAGCAACTGGCTCTTCCTGTAGGCTACTTCTAGAATAAGGAACCGGGCAGAATCTCACCGACCCGAGGGACACACACAGCACTGAGCAGATACAGGCATGGCTGCTGTGTCCCTGAGATGGGGGCTGCTCGTTAATGCAGCATCTACCTCAGCACGGCACTGCCAGCTCCTTCCCCGGTCCAGAGCCCTGGACAGCAAGGCTGCCATATGAGAGTGGAGAATTTTAATCTAAGATTAAATGAATTTTAATCTAAGATTAAGAAGTATGTTTTAGAAGGTTTAAATTTTCTGGTTGATGGCAGGAACTATCCGTTTATTGCTGTATTCCCAGCCCACTGCTGGCACACAGCTGGGACTCAACAAAGGTTTGCTGACCAAATAATATGCCCAACACTCCCATCATGCTCTTGGTACAGGGCTTCTAGAGAGACTCCAGAGGGACCCATAGCAACAGTCGTACCAGAGGTCAGCTTGCCAGTCTGCTGTCCCGTGTGGCTGGGAGGATCCCTGAGCTTCTTGCCTAGAGATCAAGGAGATGTAACAGTGCCCCGTCTGTTCTTGTGGGAGCACGGGGTGGGGAGGGGGAGGCCACTCAAGCAGGGACTAGCAGCTCAGGGGACCTCCGATGTGGGTGGGGGACAGCGGAAACCCTGGCAGCCTGCAGGAGCATCTATCCCTGTCCGTGGGAACCCAGAGTCCTGGTTCGGCGTAAATGCCATCAAGACTGTGGATGGGCTGCTGTCCAGACCACTCAGCCTTTCACCAGAGCCTTGGGTTTCAGTGGAGAGAGTGGTTTCTTTGTTGGAGAAAGAAGAAAGAGGAAACTGAGTGAGCTCCGGGGTGATGGGCCGGTCTGTGGTTACTGATGGAAAGCTGGAGAAGTGTGCAGACTACGTCGTTCTCTTGACAGTCTGAGTGTCTGCCCAGGGCCAGGAACTCTGCCTGACCTCCCAGGCGAGGTGCATGTCTAGAATCTTTCCTCTAGATGGGCAGGATGGCCCAGAGGAGGGCGATGGGAGTGCAGGAGTCTGGACATGACAAAGGACAGGACTCCCTGACAGTCTGTCTGCCTGCTCACTTGGGGTCTATGCATGCGGGATGGGGCAGAGAGCCCGTGTATGTTAGCTTAACCCACCCGTCTGGTACAGCTGCCGAGACGGACATGATAGTCTCCATTTCCGGACAGGAGACGAGCCAGAGCCAGACCTGTGTATGCCAGAGCCTGTGCCCTTAACACAGACTGGTTCGGATGTTGTATCTGATACTTTAATGTTCTGGTATTTTCTTAATTCATTTCCTTTAGTTTTTCTTGTCAGTGAAATCTAATGTCAAAGCCATAATATTGTGGTACTTAAAAGAGATTATCTGCCAAGCACAGAGCACAGTACCAGGCACATGGTAGGCACCCTAGGTGGCGGGGTCCTCGCTCTCCATTCGCTTGGAAAAGGCCAAATGTCTTTTCCCCTCTGTCATGGGGACATGGGGGGGCAGGCTCTGGCTTTGATCATGCAGTAGCCTGAGTTTTACACAGGGAACATCTAAAAGGAGGCATCAGGAGAAGAAGGTGACACTGTAGGGAAAGACAGGTGTTGGTCCACACCTGCAGCCAACTCTGCCCTTGCTAAGACCTCCTAGGACTCTGGACTGTGCTCCCATGGTATTGGCACTGGCAAAGGGGCACCATCCCTTCGCAGCTACACAAAGTCATCCCTTACCTCCAGGATCCACAAAGTCCCAACCGGGAATGCTAAGCTTGAACCCTGGGCAGACTGTTTTGTTTTGTTTGTTTTCCCAGAGAGCCTTGATTTACCCTCATTTATTCCTGTGCTAACTATTCTTAGCATAGATGACTCAGTTCTTCTGTAATATTTGACACCCCAGCCTGGCAGGAAGGTGGTCATGACACAGGTGCCAGGAGGTTTTCAGAGCTGCTGTGATGGTGGCAGACTCGAGCCGTTCCGTAGAGACCAGCTGGCTCCATCTGGGGAGGGGAGAAGGATCTGGGACCTGTCCCTCCACCTGTTCACCTGCTCATCATTTATTTGTTGGGTCAAGTGTCCGTGCAGGGGTCACCTGAGGGTCTGGCTGACCCCCAGGAGCTCACAGTCTAACAGGCTCTAGCAGGGAAGCCGAGGCTCCCAGCTAGGTGGATTTGTCCTCTACCATGTCAGGAAAGCTCATTTTTCAAAGTAAGGACCAGAGATCCTCCCTGGTGACATGTAGGGGACAGACATGGCACCAGAAGAGTAGCAAGGCAATGCAAGGGCTCAGGAGTTCCAGACACAGTAGGGGCCCAACATCAACGGACCGAGGGAGGGGCAAGGTGGTGGGGCACTGCCCATCCCCTACCTGCCTGCCTTCCCTTGGCAGTCGCCTTTCCTGACCTGAGAGGGCTGGGATTGTGCTCTCAGGGTCCACCCCATCCTGCACACCCCTGCCACTCGTACCACACACACACACACACACACACACACACACACACACACGAGGCCTGACCCAGAGCCAGCCCTGACACCTCTGGCAGAACAAGGACACGGTGCTGAGGCCTAGGCGAGGAAGGCAGGCTTGCTGCAGCCCATGGCAGGCTGGAAGGGGAAGGATGGGGACTGGCCAGACTCCTGCCAACTCCTGATGTGTGTCCCCCATGGGTCCTGTGACCACGGCAGACCGGCAGGCAGGACCTGCAGAAGCCAGCAGAATCCCTGCCCCTCCTGACTCCAGCACACTGAATGTACTGTAGGGTTCTCAAGGACCTTCTGAAAGGTCATTATCTCCCCAGCCCCTAGGCAGCCAGGAAGCTGCGTGGCATGGTATGGGCCTGTCCACTGTCCAGAGGGTGCTGGGGCCCCACGGTGGGCACGTCACTCCCTGCCTAATCCCGTGCAACCTGGCTCCCAGCCTGGCCTCAGCCTGGCTCTAGGCGTGACGCGCCCCGCAGGAAGGCTTAGCTATAACAGATTCCCACTGGCCCAGCCTCCAGCTGCCACTGCCGCAGTCCTTCCTTGCCCCAAGAGTGAGCGGATTCCTACAACACTTCAGACTCCGCGTCCTGTGACTGCTTTCCCTTCCCCGCCCCTGGAGGCATATTCACCGAGACCTCATTTTTGCTCCTCCCAGAACTGGTCTGCTTCACAGAGTCCTAACTGCAGATCAGGGGAGAAAACGCAGGTGAAAAGCCTAGCGCGGCTCCTGCCCAGCAGCAGTGAGAATACCTGCTGCTGCCATTATCTAGGTCTAAGCTCCTCAGCTTGGACTCCTGTGCCCAGGAAGTACTGAAGACAGGTGTAAGACCATGATGAGGCCTCCCCCTGAGCAACGCCCCGAGGGCTGTCAGGCGCGGCTGAGCCAGGCACCCCCCACCCCTGCACCCCTGCAGCAACGCGGGGATAAGTGGTCTTCACTTTGAGAAGTTCTAGTCCTGGTGAAAGAATCCGGAACCGCAGGCGGAGAGCTGCGCGCAGGGACAGGACAAGCGCTCTAGGCGGGGCGGGGCAGGAAGAGCTCCAGGTGGGGTGGAGGACGGCGCGCTGCACTTGAGAGCAACGGAAATGGCGCGGGGTTCGTGGTGACCCCCGCAGAGGGACCTCAGAGGGGCTGCAGCAGCCGGTACACAGCAAAGCAAGCACCGCAGTGAAAGAAAGTGTAGGGTGGCTGCGGGGAGGGAATTACGAGTTCAAGTCCTGCTCTGGCAACTTGGCAGGGCTTTCTTTTTTTCTCTTTCTTTCTTTCTTTCTTTCTTTCTTTCTTTCTTTCTTTCTTTCTTTCTTTTTGTATTTTTAGGGAAGGGTCTACAGGGTGTTGAGGGTCTCACTACTAGATCGGACTTGTGATCTGCCTGTTTACAGCCTTCCAAATGCTGGGATTACAGGTGTGTGCCCAGTGTCAGTTGCCGTCTCAGTGCGACCTGGAAGTGGGGCCGGCACGGCAGGCCCGGAGATCCAACCTCCAGCCCCTGCATCTTTTTTTTTTAAAGGGCTGGAGATGTAATTCAGTAGTAAAGCACCCCCAATTCAATTTCCAGCACTGAAAACAAAAGTGTATCTTATCTTTATGACTTATAGGAAAGACTTTTTGTGGGGCTGCTGACACAGGGTATCCCTATGCCATGCAGGCTGGCCTTGAACTCACTATGTAGCCCAGGCTGGTCTTCAACTCACAGAGATCCTCCTGCCTCAGCCGCCTGAGTACTGGGTTCCAGGTGTGCACCACCACACCATGAAGGAAGTGAAAGACTTCTTAACTAAAACCCCAAAGCATCAAAAGTAAGGCCAAAAGCTAATTTCAATAGAGCCAAAGTAAAGGTTCTGTCCAAAGAAGGGCAGGGATGGGGCTGGTGAGATGGCTCAGTGGTCTAAAGCACCTACTTGGAACAAGCTCAGCAAAGCACAGGGACCGCGGTTCAATCCCCCAGCACCACATGCCAGCCAGCCCCGCCTCCTGGTGGGCTGAGCTGGCCACACACACACACACACACACAAACAAATAAATTAAAAAAAAAAAAACAAAGATGGGCAGGGAGGCAGTGACAGTGCAGGGCGCAAGTGGGTGAGTCATATAGGCTCAGCTGGGTGCTATGCACACCCCAGGCCTCCTGAAAAGCCACAAGAAAAGAAAAGCCATGAGTTTTCCAGCTGCTCTTGGAAAAGTGAGCCAAAGACAGGGACAAGCAATTTATAGACAAGGAAGCCCAAAGGTCAGTTTGTCCAAGATGCTCACACTTACTTGGACATGAATATTCACATGATTTACATTGATTATATATATATATTTCTGTTAATTATACAAGTTAATTCATAGTTGTAAATTACATAAAAACTAATTCATAATTAACTCAAATTTTAAGTCACTGAAATAATGAGGTATCACTTCATGAGAATGGCAAGATTGAGACAGCAGATCCTCATGCCAGTCAAGGGCAGCCAAGCCCCAAAGGCGAGAGCACTTTGACTGACCTCAGCCTCCCTCCTCTTCAGCTGTTACCCGGGCTGACTGGGCCAGGCCTGGCAACGTGGCGTACCTGGGCCAGTTCCCGGGCTGTGTCTGCAGACAGCAGGGCTGCTGGCCACGAACTGGCCCCAGTGCCCTCGGCCCACATAAGCACCACTGTCAAGTCACCGCCTGGTGGCCAGCTGACCCAGTCACCGCTCTTCTGCTAATAGACTCTCCCAGCTGCCACTGCCTGCGGGACAGCATCCAAGCTCCTCAGCCTGGTACTCAAACCACTTCCCAAACTGGCCTCAGCTCCTGTCACTTCCTGCCTGGACCCCACGCTGTAGTCACCCTGATGTCATCCCTGCTCCCTGGCCTGCCAGGCCTGTTCAGCCTTCGGTTTCATGGAGATGGTCCCTCCACTCCCTCTAGTGCCACATGGTGGAGCTTGATACCCTGCGTACGAGGGCATCTGTTGCCAGAGGCAGACCGCGCTTGGGAGCTGGAGTGACTTTGATTCCGTCTCCAGTGAAGCCATAACCAAGTGTGAGTCTCTGGCTGTGTTGGTTCACCTCTCTGAGCTTCCGTTTGCTAAACTATAAAGTGGGTTAGAATGCTGGGCTTTGTATCAGAAAGTTCTGGGATATAAGTGCTCCTTAAACAGCAGCTATTATTATGTGTCCTAGTTTGAGCACCCTCTCTGGGGAACCTCCTGGAATTCTCTCCTTGGAGCCCAGCTGTTGCTCATCTGGATCCCTCTGTGTCCCCATTCACGCTCACTCATCCCAGCATTCTCAGAGCTCTGCACAGTGCCCGGCACACACACACACACACACACACACACGAGGCCT